TCATCCTGTCCTGCATCCCCAGGGATTCACCCCATCCCATCCCACACCCCAGGGCTGGTCCCATGGCACAGCTCCTGGTGCCAGGCTGTGGAGGGCACCTTGTCCTGCTCTCCCCTCCTGTCTGTGCCCACCAGGCCAGCTCTCACTGCTGGTCCCCAGGGTGGGAATGGTGCAGCAGCTGCTGCCTGTGCTCACAGCACCCAGCAGGAGTGGCTGTGAGCGTCCCCAGGTGTCCCCAGGTGTTCCCAGCTGTCCCCAGCTGTCCCCAGCTGTCCCCTGGTGTCCCCAGCTGTCCCCTGGTGTCCCCAGGTGTCCCCAGGTGTCCCCAGCTGTCCCCTGGTGTCCCCAGGTGTCCCCAGGTGTCCCCTGGTGTCCCCAGGTGTCCCCTGGTGTCCCCAGCTGTCCCCAGCTGTCCCCAGGTGTCCCCTGGTGTCCCCAGCTGTCCCCTGGTGTCCCCAGGTGTCCCCTGGTGTCCCTGGCACCGCTGCCAGGCCGGACACAGAGCTGTGGGACGGGCAGGCTTTGGGCAGCCACAGGAGAGGAGAAGGCTCCAGGTTTGTCCCAGGAGCGGTGCCAGAATTGGACCTTTCTGTGAATCTCCATCCACCACGGCATTATTTGGTCATTAATTTCCAGTTTATAGCCACTGAGGAAATTCCAGGCACAGAAAACTCTCAAAATCTTGTAAATACAAGCTTAGATATGGACATGGACACGGGATTTTGCTTGAGGCCTTGGAGAAAACTTCCAGACTTAGAATCACAACTTAGAATGTGAATTTAAATAAAAAGACATTAAGTTAGTTTGTAGGAATTTTTAAGGTTTTAAAGTTAAGGTATGGAAGTAGTTATAAAGGTAATAAGAGGTTTAAAGTATTACAAGTAGCTTTGTGTGTCACTGTATGATTGGTTAAGAAAGTCCTCACTGCAGCAGAGATGTATAAAACAAAATAATTAACTATTGGTGTGAAAATAGAAGCATTCCTTTGTGGCATTAGTTTATTGGTTAATTAATCTTTAAAAGATCTTATAACCTGTGTAACCAACCTTGTGACCACCAAATCAGCCAAGATTTCAAATCACCCAAGACCAAGAACAGCTGGTGAATAAAGTGCAGATGTGCTCACTCCTTCATGAGACTGTAGAAGAAAATTAATAAATAAAATATTTATAAAAATATTTAATAAAATAAATATAAAATAGATAAATATACTAAATATAAAAGATTAATAAAATAAAAATAATAAATAAAAATAATAAATCATGCTTTGAAATGTCTTTAAGTGGTCCCATCTCTCTCACAAAATCCCAATATACAGCCCCTGGGGGAAACCTCCTGGAGCTGCAGCCAGGGGTCAGGGCACAGTGAGGGGAGCTGGGCTGCTCCCTCCAGCCCCAGGACAGGCCTGGGAGGGTGCTCAGCACAATTTAGGAGTGTTCTCATCTCAGGCAGGTGTGGGAGCTGGAAAAATAGAAACTTCTACAAGGGTTTGGTTTGCAGCCTGGGAAGGAGCTTGGGTTAATGTAATGATAAAGGTACACAGACAATAAGTAGAAAAATTATGAACTTATGTTCTTATAGTTGTAAGAACATGCTTTAAGTAAGTAAGAAACTAAACTGGTTAAGATAGTGAAAAGTTTTAAATTATAATAGTGGGGTTTTATAGAGGAGACTAAGGATTTGGAAGTCATGATAGAGATGTGTGTGTGTGTACGTGACCTAACAATCTGTTGGCTGAAAGACAGAGGCAGTGTGGCAGAACTTAGCAAAAGTGATAAGTTATAAAGTCAAAACAAGCTCTGTGTCAGCTGTCTATTGGCCCAAAATGTTGTTATATATTGCTGTGTGAAGGAGAAACTCGTGACTACCTTTGAGCTGTGACTGACTTCAAACCTCACACCTTCAAACTGAGATCTTATCTGAGAGATTTCAGCAATAAATCAGATCAATAGCACCGATGGTCCCATCCCATCAATAGCACTGATATTCCATCTCGACAGGCAGGAGCATCCCCCCGAGCCTGTCCCCTGTGTGGGAATGGGAAACCCCCACCCCTGCACTGCTGGGACCCCCGTGCCCATCCCCTGCCACCCTCAACCCCAGCCATAACCTCACAAACAGCCTTTGCTCTTCATTGCAGAACTTGGGTCTCTGTCTCGTTTTGCAACATGTGAAAAATAAAAATAAAACCAAAAAAACGCATCACAGCAAAAGGCAGAAACCCAGAAGGGCTTAAAACCCCCAACTGTGGTAACTTCCCATAGCCCAAGCCCACCCTGGTGGGGATTGGGGTGCATCAGTGGGGCTCAGAGGTGGAGGGGATGTGCCAGCCCTGCAGCTGGCTGAGGCAGGAGCACGGGGTGATGCTCAGCACCCCGCTTTGCCCCCACCCCTCTCTCAGCCACCCCCTGCTCTTTGGGCCGGCTCTCCTGTGCCAGGCTGCCTGTGGCCAGCACCCAACAGTGGATGGAGCAGAAAAAGCCTTCACAACATTAATGAAAGCTCTGACAAAGGGAGGCGAGGGGAGCTATTGTCTCCTTGGCCTTCTCCTCGCAGCGTCTGCGTGTAATGAGACTTTTGGTTATGCTTGTGGCTTCTGTGACAAAGCTGTGATTTAAGGGCTGTCTGTTCCGAGGCAGAGCCGCTCACACGGGCCAAAGTGCTGGTGAGTAATATTTTACCACAAATTGTTGTAACTGGAGCTCAACGACTGCAGTAGGAAGGAGGAGGGGGGGGATTGTATTTGATTTATTAGATGGCTTAGTGCAATTTGCAGAGTGAGCTTTGTGCTGGTGTGGCCGTGGGTTTGCAAGCCCAGCAAGTAAAAGTGGATGGGAATGGGACTGGGGAGGGGAACACGCCGTGGTTTGCTGCCACCATGTCCAGGCCTGGATCTGCAGGAGGACCAGCAGCAGCTGGGGATGCCCAGGAGCCCTCCCCGTGTGTGCCAGTGTCCAGTGGGAACCATGGAATCACAGAATGGAATCATTAAGGTTGGAAAAATGTCCAAAATCCACTCCAACCTTTGATGAAACACCGGCTCATCAACTAAAGCAGAGCGCTGAGTGCCACGTCCTGGCGTTCCTCGGACACCTGCAGGGATGGGGACCCCAAACCTCCAAACTTCCCACGCCTGACCACCTTTTCCATGGAGAAATCCCTCCTGAATTTCCTCCTGAAGGCTCCCACCTTTAGCAAGTCCACCACGTGTAAAACAGCCCCTTGGGCAAGCAGCACTTGCTCCTCACAGCCTTCAAACCGAGCCAGAAGCTCGAGGGATGCTCTCCTAAACCCCAGGCTTCTCCCAAACCCAACCTGTGCAGCATCTCCAGGAGGAGTTTGGAGGAGGGAGGAGGTGTGGAGGGCAGGCTGCTGCTGGGATTGCATCACTGTGAGAATTCAGGTCATGTTTACTACAGGCAGCTGGAACACGATGATCTCAGATGGTAACAAGTAACATCTGAGGGGACGCATTAAAACATCCAAGCTGTTTTGTAAGCACCTACTTTGCTTTCTTTCCAAAGCCGGCTTGGCTATTTGTGAGGATTCATCTGTCCTCTGAAGAAGCTGGTGTCATTTTGTTGAAATAAGTGAAAAAGAACAAGAGGTTCCCCTTCCTCTCAATTTCAAATGGAAAAATGATTTTGTCCTTTTTGCTGGGTTGGTTTTGTGTTGTTTTGGGGTTTTTTTTGGTGGTTTTTGTTGTTTTTTTTTAAAGTCCCCAAAACAACAAACAAAACCCCACAGTCCAGCTTCCTTTCTGCTTCAGAAAGGACAGATACCTACAGTCTGAGCACTTCTGGCCTCTTGCAGGCTGACCTTGTGTAATTTCCTCTATTTACATTTGGCCAGCACTGGCCTCATTGACTAGGAGAGTTTATACAACTCCTTTGGAGAGGAATACCAAGGATTGCTGAGGCACGTCCTGCCCCACATTGTCCTATTTACTGTGCTGCTGAATAGATGCACAGTGCTGCTGAGTAAATATGTCCTTATCCTATTTTGTTCTGCCTTTAATGCCTTTCTACCACGATAACACAGAAGGTCACAGGCAATTAATTTAAACCAGGTGGGAAAAACAACTCTTAAAATCTTTGTGTGCAGGGAGGCATCTGATAGTGCTCCAGTTAAATGTGCTTTTATTTACGTGAGCAGGCTTTGCAATGCCTTTTCTAGGGGGTTGTTTTTGAGGAAACTGTTGCAAATAATGTTTGTAAGCCAGCCAGAGTCAAATTTGGACACAGATTATCTTCCCTGGACTTTGGTGTTGGCGTTCAAGCCTGCTCTGCTCGCATGCACGGCTCACCTCTGCTCTAGGACTTTTGCAACCAGAATGGAAACAGCTTGTACTTAATACACATCAGTGTGGTGATGATTCCCTCAGCAGGAACAGCATTTGCAAACCTAATGCAGGCAGTGGTGTTTGGGACGTGGCAGCACTCCTTGTAGGGTGTGGGGATGCTGGACAGGGAAGGGAATATCAAGAAATTAGGTTTGAGGGAGAGAAAATTGCTCATTAACATGACTAATCTGCTATTTAGTGGATTGGGGGTTAAAAGATTTTTTTTTTTGATGCACAAGTTGCTCAGCCTGGCATGGAGAAAGTATTCAGCAACTCTTTAGTGGATTTGGAGGGGGTTTTAAAAGTAGATTTTTTTTTTTGATGCACGAGTTGCTCAGCCTGGCATGGGGAAAGTACTCAGCAATTCAGCAATGATAAAATAATTCCACAATTGTGTTCTCCACACGAGGGTAACGCGCCCCAGTGCCACCGGTTCAGGCACCACTCGGGAGGAGAAAAGGCTCCTTCTAATCAGGGCTGAGGGTTTACAAGAGCACCCTTGAGGTCAGCACTAATCCACAGCTTGCAGCAGCTCATTTGGAGAGCTGGGATTGCCCAACTTGCAGGGAAAGCCACTTCAGGCTGGAGGAGTGACATGTGACAGCTTCCCCCAGCAAACCCAGGGACAGCCCAGGGATGGAGAAGAGGGAGCGGAGGAGAAGTTTCTTCACTGTGTTTATTATTAAAAGAAGGAGGCAAGGGAGGAAAAAAAAAAAAAAAGAGAAAAACAAAAAAAAAAAAAAGAAAAAAAAAGAAAAAGTTTATTGCAAATCTCAGTGTTTAAGAGTATTTCCAGAGTCCACTCAGTAATGTTACAAACAAATCAGTAAATCCTGCTTGTGCTGTGCCCTCTCACACACACACTCACCACTCGCTCCCCTGCTCGTGCCGCGACGCAGACAGGAACAGAAACTGTGAGGTCAGTGACAAATGGAGTGTTTGATCTGTACTGGAAACTTGGTACAAAATAAAAGGAAAAAAAACCCAAAGTAAATACAGTAGAACCTCGCAAATCTGCAGAACAGGGAGCTTCCACACACACGCAAAACCTGGAGGCCTTAAATCCACTTCCAAGCAGTTGTAATAGCAAAGTGCTGTAGTGAGGTCTCGTATCACAAAGACTTCAATAACCTTACAAGGATAGGCTACAGAACATTTACCAAAACGCTTGAAGTATCATAAATTAACAATAAATTAAAAGTACAACGTAATGCAATGTGGTTATTTGTTCACTGATCACCGATTCACACAACTCTAGTTCTCTGTAAGGGATCTTCCAGTCCTGGGTGCACACAGCGAGGTTCTGCTGGCCGTGATAAAGTGCTGAGGCAGAGGAAGGACACGAGACCGCAGGTCCCGGGCAGTGAGGATGAATTGCTCCAGCCACTTGGTTGCAAGAATGCCTGTTTCTTTTTTTTTTTTTTTTTTTTTTTTTTCTTTTCTTTTACAGATTGTCCCACGTTTCTATGGCTGGTAAAACACAGACAGGTCAGTGTAGCAGTTAATGGATGATGCCACTTCCACTTTAAGTACACAGAAATGGTGGTTTGGGGTTTCTTTTCCCCTCAAACCAGAACAGACTTGTTTGATTTGTCCCCCTGAGTTGCCTAGAGGCGAGAAGATGCATATAGGTGGGGTAAGCAAGCTCGTGTCACTGTGAGCAGGAATCTCTCCCGTTAAGACTGAATGAACAGCTCAAATGTTGTCTTTTATCCTTCCCTTCATGCACAGGCTCCACTTCATTTCTCGCTGAAGTCAGCAGCAAAAAATAAAAGCCCCTTGGTGCCTTTGGGGGTGCGCTGGGGAAGGGGTGCAGCTGAGCCCCAGCAGCCCAGGCTGGCAGGGCTGGGGAGCAGAGGGAGAGGGGAAGGTCCTGGGGGGGCCACAGGCAGCTGGGGCTGCAGCAGAGATTTCCTTGTGCACCTGTGAGCCGAGGTTTCGGGTACATTAAGACATCCTGGGCCAAATCCTCCCTGTGGGATGGGCTGGTTCCGGCAGCCGTGCCAGCTCCGTGGCCACCAGCTGAGCCTTTCTCCATGGAAAGAGATGCTGGATCTGTAGGGGTTTTTTTGTTGGTTTTTTTTTTTTTTTCCTTTCTAAATAACTGGGTTATTTAAGACTTACCTATTAAAAACAGCTACACTTTATGCTGTAAGAGTAATTTTCCCAACAATTTCACAAGCAATACAAGATAGGCATTGAAGAGATTGATGTAAAGACAGCTTTCCATTATGCAGAAGATCGTTTTTCCTCTCCAATTATTTGAGCTAATCTCCTTTAACAATCTCAGAATAAATTAATAAATACTAGTTAAATTAGAAACAGTACATCAGGTCTGACTATCAACAGAAAACAGTTTAAGGATCCCAGTTGGGAGAAGAAAAATGATCTTGTGAAATATGTGCAGTAATAACTGGCCATAAAGACACATGGAGCCTTTGACTTCCCAGCATTTGTGACATTCAAGTTAAGATCATTAGCAATGGTTTCTAATTGTCAGCTATCTAGCCTAGCCTCCTCCTCCAAGCTAAAAGGTGAGTCTGTATCCCTCCAGAAGATTCAGTTGGCTACTGGTGGTGTATGAAATGCTCATCTCCAGTTCATATTATTGGGTCTGTGTGGAATTTGTGGTAGGGGATGGGTGACAGTCAGAGGCTGAGCTGCTTCTGCTGTTGCTGTTGTCAGTATTTATGGGATCAGTTGGACCTTTACCTATGCTTGTTATCAGGAAAGCAAGTGTGCATCACATCTTCATGCTAGACAGAAGTTATTCTTATGTGGCTATCCGTATTTTCTATGGAGCTTTCCATTGTTGGTTAAAAAAGTTCTGTCTAATAGTTAAAAAAAAAAAAAGAAAATTGTTGGTAGCAACTGTTCACATTTAAAATTTCACATTCCCTTTAGAATGGAGTTTTAAAACGTGGAGCAGAGCTGACATTTCCCCCAGCCTTACACTGAGTACATTAGATGGAGAAGGAACAGGGTTTTTATACCACGCTGTCAGAGCCTTTTCCTGAATTTTCTGCTTTTCCAATATCCATGTCTATAAAGTCATCTGGTAGTTCTGGTGCTGGCCCCGCCGTGCTCTCCTCCACCTGCTGCTGCTGCTGCTGCTGCTGCTGCTGCTGCTGGTGGCAGAGCCCAGTCTTGCATGGCCTCACCAGGGCCAGGAACACAGCCCCCAGGACCATGCCAGCAGCACAGGAGTAGAAGGCTGAGCTGTAGTTCTTTGTCGTATCCACTAAGACACCTGGAAAAAAACATTTACAGCAGTTAGCCACAGCCCTCTCCCCCCCTGCCCTTCCCTGCCCTCCTGGAGGTTTTAATCTGCATTTCATCTGCAGCCAAAACTCGGTGACAATTGAGTTAAAAAATAAAGCCATTGTGTTCTGGGGTACACAGTGTCACCCCGAGGCGAGTCAGAAGCCCCTGGGCACCGCAGGGATGCCGAGCCCCAGGTGCATCAGGCATCTGTTTGTTCTGCCAGGCTTCACCTTCCTGCAGCGCGTGGCACAGGCACAGCGAGAGGGATTCGCCTCTGCCTGTGCCTGAAGTGATGCCAGGTTTGGGTTTCTGACAGGATCAGGGTAGCACTGCAGCATTTCCCTTCCCTCTGAGGTTCCTCAGTGCCTCATCCGTGGGACTCTGCAGAGCTGCATTGCAGTCTGCTGGCTCTGGGAGACTCCCAGCAGTGGCTGCTGGGTTTTTAGGGGAGTGCTGCCATTAGTGCTGCCAGAATGCCCTCTAGACAGAGATCAGCACCCCGTGTCAAACACCTCCAAAACAAAACCGAGACCAAAGTTTGCGTTACCTGCAAGGGGTGGTCCAGCCAACCCAGCTAAGCTTTGAATGAAGACGTAGACCCCAGCTGCAGAGGACATCTTCTCGATGCCAACCACGTCGTCCTCAGCCAGGAGGGGAATATGCGTGCCCGCCACCGTGCCGAGCATGAACCCAAAATAAACGCTACATATCATCAAGCCCCAGAATCCAGAGGCAAAAGGGAAGGCAACCAACGCTACCGACAGCAGGATGACGCAGATGAGCTCGATGTAGATCTTGCGGATCGGCTTCTTGTTGAGAACCCAGCCCGCAAAAATCCTCCCGAAGACCTCGGCAATGGCCATGGCTGACAGGATGTAGGCAGAGTGGTCTTTGCTGATGCCAAGGCTGCGGCTCAGGGGGATGATGTAGAGGGAGGGAGCGAAGAAGCCCAGGGTTGCAAACAGGCCAAAGAATGCATAACAGATAAAGCTATAGTCTCTCATCACAGAGAAGTCCAGTAGTTTGGTTTTTGGTTCTGGAGGGGTGCTGTTATTTTCAACGGGATTCTGTCTGTGTTGCTTTGGTTCTTCACTTTTCGGCTCTGCTTTGGTTTTTCCAGGCACATTGCTGGGTGAGGTAGTTATATCGACTCCTGAGTCTATGGACTCTATTGAGGTGCATGTTTGCTCGTTTTCAAGCATGTACTTTGTCTCTGTGGACTCCTCTGGAGGCTGTGCTTTCACTTCTTCCTGCTCTCTGATGACGATGGGGCGCAGCAGCGATCCGCAGGCGGTGATGCCGAGCTGCAGCACCCCGACAGAAAGCATGCTGTACCTCCAGCCAACCTGCTCCTTCAGGGCCGTGATTGCTGAGGGGAGAGGAAAGGTGTAACTGGGAAAGCCTGGAGTTACACCAAGGAATTGAACTTACAGCCAGGGAAGGGACTGCAGATTCGCTACTGGAGGGTTCTCTCAAAAAGGCTGAGCAGGGGTGTCTCCTCCCAGGGGTCTGCCACCCACCTCCCTCCCCTCTGCCGCAGAAGACAGAAGTTAAAAGCTGTGTTTATCACCTGGCTAGGCAGATGCCACCCTCTAGGTAGCTCCTTTTGAGGTCTCAGCAAGTTTGGGGACAAAGGAGGCGTTGTTTTTTAGCAAAGGACAGCAAACTCAACACTTGGGTTTGCTCTCTCAGCTGCCCCCAGCCTAAAACCAGCTAGCAGAGGAAGTCTCTTAGCCCTGCTCAAAGGGGCACGTCACTGCTTAATTACCAGCCTTCATTTGCAGCCAAAGCAGCTTTGCAGTGGGTATTAGCCCTGAGCACACAAGCACAGCACACCACATAAACCTCCAAGGGCAGGCGGTGACAGGGCCGTGACGCCTGGGGACAGGTCCCCAAAAGGCTGCCGGAGCACTTTGGCAGCCCGTGCTGAGCACAAGCCCAGTAACCTTTAGGAGCAGCTCTGTGCACTGTGTGTGTTTTAAATAGCTAAAAGTTTCTGGGGCTTATTTTTAGCCTGCCAGATCTATATAGGGACACGGCATGTCCTGCGCTGGCACACGGCACCGGGGGGGTGGCACTCGGGCAGTGTCACAGCCGTCCCCAGCACTGCCTGGCACTGCACCACGGGCATGTGAGTGACCACTTGTGGCCACCCTCTTGGGAAAGGGTGGCAGCAGCCTCTGGCCCTCCCAGCACGTGGACACCGTACCTGGTGCGAAGGAGAAGACAGCGAAACATTCCCCTGTGGATGCCACCGCTGTGACCAGCGAGCGCCTTTTGTCAAAATACTGTGATAAAATGGTGACAGTCGGGAGGAAGGAGAGGCAGTATCCCAGGCCTGTGAATAAATGCCAAAAATTGCCATAACAACAAGAAAAGGAGGGGGAAACACCGATGCGAGAACACGTTAAGTCGGCTTTCCCGGTGGTCATTGCAGTATCACTGCGGCCAACTCAGCAAGTCACCCTGGAAGAAAATCATTGGGGAAACCAGAATGTTATTCTTTTGTAAATTGGAGGGGGGAAAAGAAAAAACAAAGAGGAAAGGAAAGTGAAATCTCAAATCAAGAGACCCAGCCTCCCAAACCCGCTAGATAATGCCTTCTGCTCCCAAACAGCCAGCGGGGTCCACTTTGAGGACCTCATCTGCCCAAAGTACTTGAGCCTGTAGCAACTGTTCCCCTAAGCAAGGCAAGCTCCTGGCCATGGATATGCACAGGACACCCAGGCCAGGCTGGAGAGGGGGAAAAGTATCAGGAGAAGAAACCAGAGACAGAGGGAGCATCAGAGGATTTGATCCCAGGCCCAGCTTTGGTCTCCCCAGCCATCAGAAGCGTCTGGTGTGAGGGCAGGGCCGAGTCCAGGGGGAGCGCGGGGTGGGACAGGGCAGAAAGCCAAGCCTGGGGCCCATCCCCGCTGCGGGATCAGCTCGGGAGGGGCAGCAGCCCCCAGCACACCCCGTGTGTGTGGAGAGCCAAAGCCCCTTGGCTGGCGGGAGGGGGCAGGCTGGGGACAGGATGGTGACTCACCGGAGACGATGCCGATGGTGACGTACATGTCCACCACGCTGCGGGCGAAGGACGCGATGACCATGCCGGTGCTGACCAGCAGCCCCCCGGCCATCACCACCAGGCGGTGGCCAAAGCGGTTGCTGAGGACCGTCGACAGAGGAGCTGGAGAAAGAGAGAGCCGTGGTCAACACCCACCTCAGCAACTTCACAGCCACCATCTCCTGCACAGGCTCTTCCCAAACTCCTGCCCGGGTCCCCACGAGGTGCCACCTCCCTGCACAGCACAGCATCGCCCTGGAGCCACCCTCGGAGCACTCTGCACAGCTCACAGCATTTAGGATGTGCTAAAAAATCACCAGAACAGACTTAAAGATGAGCACGTGGAAGCCTGGGACAAATCTCCAGCCAAATGCCCGGACACCACTGGATTTCAGCAAGGCTTAAGTTATTTCTAATCCTTTTCGCTGCAGTTTGGTTTGAAAACTCTGATTTTTGCCCCTTGCTCGTGAGACCTGAACAACTAGGTCAGGCTCAGCGACACGGACCACGTCCCTGCACCACCCACAGCCATGGACTGGGGCTCAAAGGGACTGCCAGGCTGAGACAGACATTTCTTGGCATTTGAGGAGCAGCCTCTGAGCTTTATGGCTGTGATTTAATTTATAATGGAACCATTAGAGGCACGAAAGTCACAGGTGCCAGGTCCTGGCATGCTGAGTCAGCAGCACCACTGCCCCTTGCACCTGCTCCTCTTACCTGTGAAGGTCTGTACAAACACACATATGGATATTATCCAGGATATCCTGCTGTTGGTTTCGTCAAAGCTTTCCATCAGGTCGTTAAAGAAGACTCCAAATGATTTTATGATGCCGTATGTCAGGGCTTCCACAACAAAGAACGCAAAAGCGACTGTCCAGCCCCATCCTCCGTCAGGCACTTTAGTATAAACGTTTGCAGAGGTGCACGGCATCTTTACAGCTTTGACCGTCATTTTGGATCTGGAAAGAGAGGGGAGAGGGAGCCAGGCATCAGTTTAAGCTGAGTTTTGCTGGAAGAGGCAGAGCCTGGGAGCTGTAGCACCCCTGAGGCTCCGTGAGCCGGACCCTGAGCTGCCAAGGGATGAAGTGTGGGAGCTGGGCTGGTGTTTCTGCCTCTGTCCCTCCGTGGGCTCCTTCCCGCTGCTGCCCTGCGAGCCCCGCAGCAGAAACTCTGGGCTCAGCAGCCGGGCGAGCTGTTGCCAGCAGCCAAACCCGGGAGCTGGGAGCTGTCATCTGTCTGTCGGTGCACGGGGGCGGATGGATGCAGTTGGTGAAAGATCCGCGGCGGGCTGGGCTGCAGGAGCCGCACAGCTCCCGGGGCACCCGTCCCCCCCAGCCTGCCTGTCCCCACAACGGCAGCTCAGAACCGGGGTGGGCACATCCCCGCTCCCAGCAGCTCCCCCGGGGCAGGGGGGGCTGGATGGGATCACCCCAGAAGACACGGGATGTCCTCAGCCCTGCCCCGTGTCACTGTGGGTGTGCGGGGGTGGCTTTGGTCCCACACGGAGCTCCCGTGGAACCCCAGCACTGCCACGGCCGCCCTGGGGGGACAGCGCCGGTGCCCCGGGGGACTCTGTGCTGGGCTCACGGCCACACCCGCACGGGGGGGACAGTGCCGGGGTCACCGGCACACCCGCACCGAGCCGAGGCCACTGCAGCACCGCACCTGAGCGGGGGGACAGGGACAGCATCACCTGCGGGGGCTCCGCTGTGCCACCGGCACACCTGGGCGGGGGACAGCGCCGGGGTCACCGCCACACGTGTGCTGGGTGGGGACAGTGCCGGGGTCACCGCCACGCGTGTGCTGGGTGGGGACAGTGCCGGGGTCACCGCCACACCCGCCCGG